TCTCCTAATGAAAGTTAGCGATCCAAGTGGCTACACGGAGCACGTCCAAAGATGTGTAGCCGTACCAACGAAAGATTATTTGGCCAGGTGCTCTGCCCTCTTCCTCTTGATCTTTTTCCTGTTTTTTTTTTCTTGAATTTCGAGCAGCTTTCACTTGGTATATCTTTCCACATCTTTGGTCTCGCGAATCTTTAGTTATAGTAAAGCTTTTATAGCAGCTTTCAGCCTCAAAATCTCGACTGGGCAGCGTCTTTCTAGAATCTATTTCATGCTTGCTCACGTATCTGAGTATATCGTTAAATCGTTATACTGTCGGCATTATCGTTATATCGCTGTTGTCATCGTTATATCGTTACCGTCATTGTTATATTATTGCTGTCATCGTGATATCGTTACCGTCATCCTGATATCGTTATATCATTGCCGTCATCGTTACATCGTTGCCGTCATCGTTATATCGTTGCTGTCATCGTTGTATCGTTGCTATCATCGTTATATCGTAGCTATAATCGTTATATCGTTGATGTTATTGTTATATCGTTGCCGTCATCGTTATATCGCTACCGTCAGCGTTATATGATCGCTGTCATCGTTATATCGTTGCCGTCATCGTTATATCGTTGCTGTCATCGTTATATCGTTGTCGTCATCGTTATATCGCTGCCATCACTGTTATATCGTTGCTATCGTCGTTATATCATTGCTATCGTCGTTATATCTTTTCTGTCATCGTTATATCGTTGCCGTCATCGTTATAATGTTGCCGTCATCGTTATATTGTTGCAGTCATCGTTATATCGTTGCTTTCACAGTTATATCGTCGCTCTCATCGTTATATCGTTGCCGTCGTCGTTATATCATTGCTGTCATCGTTATATCATTGCTGTCATCGTTATATCATTGCCGCCATCGTTATATCATTGCTGTCATCGTTATATCGTTACCGTCATCGTTATATCGTTGCTATCGTCGTTATACTGCTGTCATTGTTATATCATTGCTGTCATCGTTATATCGTTGCTGTCATCGTTATATCATTGTCACCATCGTTATATCATTGCTGTCATCGTTATATCGTTACCGTCATCGTTATATCATTCCTGACATCGTTATATCGTTGCTATCACTGTTATATCGTTGCTATCGTCGTTATATCATTGCTGTCATCGTTATATCGTTGCCGTCATCGTTATATCGCTGCTATCACTGTTATATTATTGCTATCGTCGTTATATCATTGCTATCATCGTTATATCGTTGCCGTCATCGTTATATCGTTGCTGTCATCGTTATATCGTTGCCTTCATCGTTATATCGCTGCCATCACTGTTATATCGTTGCTATCGTCGTTATATCATTGCTATCGTCGTTATATCTTTGCTGTTATCGTTATATCGTTGCTATCATCGTTATATCATTGCTGTTATCGTTATATCGTTGCCGTCATCGTTATATCGCTGCCATCACTGTTATATCGTTGCTATCGTCGTTATTTCATTACTATCGTCGATATATCATTGCTGTCATCGTTATATCGTTACCGTCATCGTTATATCGTTGCTATCACCGTTATATCGTTGCTATCGTCGTATACTGCTGTCATTGTTATATCATTGCTGTCATCGTTATATCGTTGCTGTCATCGTTATATCATTGCCACCATCGTTATATCATTGCTGTCATCGTTATATCGTTACCGTCATCGTTATATCATTCCTGAAATCGTTATATCGTTGCTATCACTGTTATATCGTTGCTATCGTCGTTATATCATTGCTGTCATCGTTATATCGTTGCCGTCATCGTTATATCGCTGCTATCACTGTTATATTATTGCTATCGTCGTTATATCATTGCTATCATCGTTATATCGTTGCCGTCATCGTTATATCGTTGCTGTCATCGTTATATCGTTGCCGTCATCGTTATATCGCTGCCATCACTGTTATATCGTTGCTATCGTCGTTATATCATTGCTATCGTCGTTATATCTTTGCTGTTATCGTTATATAGTTGCTATCATCGTTATATCGTTGCTGTTATCGTTATATCGTTGCCGTCATCGTTATATCGCTGCTATCACTGTTATATTATTGCTATCGTCGTTATATCATTGCTATCATCGTTATATCGTTGCCGTCATCGTTATATCGTTGCTGTCATCGTTATATCGTTGCCGTCATCGTTATATCGCTGCCATCACTGTTATATCGTTGCTATCGTCGTTATATCATTGCTATCGTCGTTATATCTTTGCTGTTATCGTTTTATCGTTGCTATCATCGTTATATCGTTGCTGACATCGTTATATCGTTGCCGTTATCGTTATATTGTTGCCGTCATCGTTATATCGTTGCTGACATCGTTATAGCGTTGCCGTCATCGTTATATCATTGCTGTCATCGCTATATCTTCGCGTTCATCGTTAAATCATTGCCGCCATCGTTATATCATTGCTGTCATCGTTATATCGTTACGGTCATCGTTATATCATTCCTGACATCGTTATATCGCTTGCTATCACTGTTATATCGTTGCTATCATCGTTATGTCCTTGCTATCATCGTTATATCGTTGCTGCCAGCTTATTGTCGGAACAATTATTTGTTTTTAAGGCTTATATATCGCTTTGCACCATATACGCTGAGGTTCAAATTTGGCTGACGTAATGTGGCAATACGTATGTCAGAAAGAGTGCGCCGATGGCATCCGTGACTTTGTACTCATATATCTTTGCTGTTATCGTTATATCGTTGCTATCATCGTTATATCGTTGCTGACATCGTTATATCGTTGCCGTTATCGTTATATTGTTGCCGTCATCGTTATATGATTGCTGTCATCGTTATATCGTTGCTGACATCGTTATAGCGTTGCCGTCATCGTTATATCATTGCTGTCATCGTTATATCGTCGCTGTCATCGTTATATCATTGCCGCCATCGCTATATCATTGCTGTCATCGTTATATCGTTACGGTCATCGTTATATCATTCCTGACATCGTTATATCGCTGCTATCACTGTTATATCGTTGCTATCATCGTTATGTCCTTGCTATCATCGTTATATCGTTGCTGTCATCGTTATATCACTGCTGTCATAGTTATATCGTTGCTATCATCATTGTATTGTTGCCGTCATCGTTATATCGTTGCCGTCATCGTTATATCGCTGCCATCACTGTTATATCGTTGCTATCGTCGTTATATCATTACTATCGTCGATAAATCTTTGCTGTTATCGTTATATCGTTGCTATCATCGTTATATCGTTGCTGACATCGTTATATCGTTGCCGTTATCGTTATATTGTTGCCGTCATCGTTATATGATTGCTGTCATCGTTATATCGTTGCTGACATCCTTATAGCGTTGCCGTCATCGTTATATCATTGCTGTCATCGTTATATCATTGCTGTCATCGTTATATCGTTACGGTCATCGTTATATCATTCCTGACATCGTTATATCGCTGCTATCACTGTTATATCGTTGCTATCATCGTTATGTCCTTGCTATCATCGTTATATCGTTGCTGTCATCGTTATATCACTGCTGTCATAGTTATATCGTTGCTATCATCATTGTATTGTTGCCGTCATCGTTATATCGTTGCCGTCATCGTTATATCGCTGCCATCACTGTTATATCGTTGCTATCGTCGTTATATCATTACTATCGTCGATAAATCTTTGCTGTTATCGTTATATCGTTGCTATCATCGTTATATCGTTGCTGACATCGTTATATCGTTGCCGTTATCGTTATATTGTTGCCGTCATCGTTATATGATTGCTGTCATCGTTATATCGTTGCTGACATCCTTATAGCGTTGCCGTCCTCGTTATATCGTTGCCGTCATCGTTATATCGCTGCTATCACTGTTATATCGTTGCTATCATCGTTATGCCATTGCTATCATCGTTATATCGTTGCTGTCAGCTTATTGTCGGAACAATTATTTGTTTTTAAGGTTTATATATCGCTTTGCACCATATACGCTGAGGTTCAAATTTGGCTGACGTCGTAATGTGTACAAGAGAAAAGCGTGCAATACGTATCTCAGAAAGAGTGCGCCGATGGCATCCGTGACTTTGTACTCGGGTTGCTAAGCAACGAGGTGCTTTTATCTCTTTCTAACACACGCTTCTTGCGCTTCTGTCTCGAACACATTACGACGTCAGTGGTATTTGGTTTTCAATGTATATGTCTTACTATCGTTTGGGCTTAAACTCGCCATCGCCCATACAGTGCTTTTCAAAAAGGTGGAGAATACTATAATTCAATGACGAGAAACATAAATCAGAAAATGGGAAAGTGGCTTACTAGAGAGTGACCAACCAACATCCTGTTTTTTATAAAGCATTTAAACAGTTCACAAGCAAACATATCAGCAAATGTACCATAGTTGTTCAGATTTCTCTACATTCGTACCAGTGGAGAGTTTAAGCCATTAGTTTTGGAAAACGGGATATTGAAGTATTTATATTCATTTTCGATGAAAAGTAAAAGCAGTCAATTGTTCACGATTCAGTGCAGAGAACCTAGATCAGATAATACCCTTCTCTTAGCCAGAGGTAAGATTTTGAAACAATGATGCTCGCCCTGTAAGCCAGAATTCGCAAGAACTTATGTTGAACAGACACAATTCTCCTTTCTTTTTTAGCGTTAAGTGGAAGGTCATTTCTCTGACAATAATCGTTAAGTTTGTCGATATCAGATTGTTTTTTGATGCAATGTTAAGGGCTTTCAACTATAGGATACATCTTTAAATCATTTGCGAAAAGAAGACATTGGCAATGGCTGAAACATTGTGCGATATCTTTTATATAGATTATGAAGAATACTGGACCTAGATGGCTACCTTGAGGCTCTCCCGATGATGGATTAAGGACCCGTTTAAACCAACCTCAGCAAGTTTTGTTAACTCGATCAAAAGACTGGCAATGATTTTCTTTATGTGGAACATATCTTTCATTCTAAGCGCTTAAAAAAATACTTTTTGGAGAAAAAATGTATTTATTACAGAGATCTTCTACATAGGCTGCTTATCGAAAGAAGGTAACATTTACACAAAAATTTTAATCAGGTTTAAAACTTTCAAGGTTATAATTATTACGTTTTGTTTCAGCAAAAAAACTTACAATTACAATATGGCAAGACGAAAATAATAAAATAAATAGCTTTTGTACGTTACAAGAAAATATACATTTTTTACAAAACATTCACATAAAATATAAAACGATGGCAAATTGTCATAGTAGGATATAATACAAAAATATAAGCGTTACAGTCAAGCTCACTTAAAAATATCATATACCGAATTACGAGTTTCACTTAACGATAGAAGTTTTTTGAAATATATCAACTTTCAGTTAGCCATTTATGCAAGAAAACTATGGAAGAATTCTTCTAGTCGTCATTGTTTGTTATCTGAATATCCTGCATTTTATTATAGCACTATCCATTAAACTTGTGTTCACTTTACATGTTTAAAAATATATAAGAAAATTTTGTCAAAATTGTACAAAACAGATGCCTGTTTTTTTTTGGGGGGTAAATTGACATTTCAAAATTGCCCCGCCACTCAAATATTTTCAAAAAGAAATCTTACCGCCATGATTTTTTGAGAGACTCTAAATAAAGTCCTCGTTTTTGAGTTTAAGCGGAGTAGCCATATGGCTAACGGTCAATATGCTAAAAAAGACCTTTTTTATCATTATATAATCATTAGACTAAAAATATTTCCTAATTTTGATCTTAATCTTTTAACAGAAGTAATGCATCTAGTATATAGGTACATTTTGGTAGGAAGTTTTTTCACCAACGGGATTTCCAAAATCGTCTGATACATTTCAAAAAACTTTCCAAGCGTCCTTAACATAACTGTATACTACGAGTTCACGAAATTATCAAATATTGCACAAAATAGCGATTTTGTGTGCAAGACAAAGAAATAACACTAAAAATGTACAGTTTGTCATGTTTGTAGAGCCCCATTTTATAGACATTATGCTTGAAAACTGCATTACGGTCTCTGAAAATCAACCGGTAACAGTTCAGTTTTCAAGCTATCTAATGGGATCGACTAGAATTTTCAAACGAAATATATACAACTTAAAGTGCACTATACTGAAGTATAGAGTAAATATCGCATGCCCTAGGTGGTAGAGTATAAAGAAAAAACGAAATCAAGGCATCAGAAGTGGGATTAAATTAGAGCATGTTCCTATTTGAAAGGATATTTTTCACTTATTACGTTTGCATTGTTAACACTTAAAATATTCAAAAATTAGGATATCCCTGAAATACGGTGTATTAGGGTAAAAAATAATACATTTTCAGAGCCAGAAGTCAGAAGCAACTCCAGTGTAAAAAAAACACATAATCGGCAGAGAATCACTGATTTACTATACACGAGCGAGATAGAGAGAGAAACATGAATGTTAAAGCGACATCGGGAATAAAACGACCAGACTTGTCCTTATTCTAGAGCACATTTCATTTGCGTACTCGCTCTCGCATACGTGTTTCTCTCTTTATCTCGCTCGCTCAAACATATTAAATACGGGACCTCAATGATTTCCTGCCGATCCTGTATACATAGAACGATAAAAAGGCATTGTGTGTATTCATTCTTGTTTTACTTAAGCAATGGATTTTGACGAAGTATGTCGGTTTCTCCTGGATCTTCCCGTAAGGGAACCTGTCCGACAACACAAGAATATGTAGAATTTTGACCAAAATTGTAAATAATCTGATACTGACTACAACAGAGAGACTAAATAATAATAAATAAATATCCCAACAAATAGAATCATGTATAGATCGAAACTTTTCATTTATCATATACTACTAGAAAAAATATTGACAATAAAACCCACGAAATGAAATTTCAACGCGGGTACACGTATTGTCAGTATTTCCCCAGTAGTTTTGGTTTATATATTTACTTCCAGATATAGTAACTTTCTTCAATCTGTGTAGCAGCATTTAAGGACAACTGAGTACGATATAATATCCCAATGCGATCCTCGAATCCTACTACATGTTTGGTCAACACATAACACATCTTTACAGTAAATACACTGTGACTAAGTATTATGCTTAAAATATCTTCATCAACAACCTAATGTGCTGCGGCATCAAAAGCTTACTTCAACTAGATGTCTTGTGGCTTGGATCTTCTCTGTTTATGTTGGACAAATGACTGGAAAATGAAAGTGGCAATTAGCACCTTGATAATGTAAATTTAGTTAAATACAAGCAATTAACATAAAGTGATCTTGAAAATGGTATTAAGTAACACTGACGATTTCGATACATGTCGAACGCTCCCGGTTGTCGCCACGAACGCTCACGTATTCTGGCTGTACAACTGGTTGCCTAAGCGTCAACGTTACGAACATGCCCCATTGTTCCAATTACGAGGGCGTTACATTATTTACATACGATAACTCCTTATGATGAACTCCCTTAACTTGTCGTATTTTTTTCCCGCTAAAACAACAAAGATGCAAAAACTGTCAACGGCTTTCTAACTTTAATCGATGAATTCCAGAATTCAAATTCAAAATATTTATTTCGTCAAAGGAAATTCTGCAATATAGAGCAATGACGAAAAAGGACAGTCTACAGTCTCTAAAAATCCTTAAAAAAATAAAAAAAAAAACAATAAAGAGGCAAATGAAAAGGAGGTGAAACACAAAAAGGCAAAAACGAAGAAAGAACCCCGGGAGGTGGCAACGGACGCGAAAAACAAATCTATACAACTTGTCAGCGAGTAGGTATGTAAAAACGATATGTTTGCTCACACAAATGCTGCTAAACTAGCTGGTGATTCTGTAAGGTTTTTGTCAGTTTTGAAGACGAGCTTTTAACTGAAGTTCGTAAATTATTCCATAAGTGAACCGCCTCAGAAGCAAACGATCGTCGGAAGGAACGCGTTCTATGCCTTGGCACGATAAAATTGAGATTATTTCTGCTACTCTGGGCACGAGGCAAAGGTACAAATCTTAAATAGGGCGGTTGAGCTGTTTTTATAACCCTATAGATAAAAGAATACATGTGATATTTTCTGCGATTCGTCATGTTTAATATGTTGTAGTTATTCAGATAAGGAGAGATATGGTTTCGATATGGAATTCCAAATGCAAATCTCATGCAACTATTTTGAACTTTTGGTATGCATTTTTTGGTTCGCGACGATAGCGAATCACCATAGACGATATCTTCATAGTCAAAAGGTGATAAAATTAAGGTATTACACAAATAATATTTTTGTTTGGCTGATAAATGTTTTTTTTAACTTGTTTATATTTCTTAGTCGCATGTAAGCTAAATTTGTTCTGTTTTTTATATGACTTCCTAAGCCAAGCGAGCTAGGAAAGCTAATGCCTAGATTTTTTGTCCCCTGAACCATGGGGATTCTGTCATTGCTAATAGAAGTTATTAAATTTTGTTCAAAATGTTCTCTTTAATTACGGTTTTTATTCATAACCATTACTTGCGATTTTGAGGGGTTTAGTTTAAGATTGTGATGCTTTGCAAATCTGTCAATACTTTGGAGATCTGAATTTAGTTGTTGTTGTGCAATATGGATTGTGGTTTTATTGAAAGGTAGATATATTTGTGAGTCATCTGCATATTGTTTTATCTTTGCGAATTTTACCCATTTGACCATGTCAGATATGTAGACTGAAAATAGCAAAGGAGATAAAATTGAACCTTGAGGAACTCCTCTTTTTATAGGTTTAAAAAGCTCTCGTTTCTTAAACTTGGAATGAGCCATGTTACAGCCAGAAGCCTTCCAGATTAAGCGCGAACCTTGATCGAAGTTATATAGATGGCAGTATATTCATCTCGGTGTCACCAGATGCTTCCCGATACGTGTCGAACGCTCCCGGTAGCTACCATGAACACTCACGTATTCAGGATGTATAATTGGTTGCCTAAGCGTCAACGTTACGTAGGTGCCCCATAGTTGCAGTTACGAGGGCGTTACATCATTTACATTCGAAAACTCCTTAGAATGAGCTCCTATAACGTCATCACATCTTTTTCCTCATAATATCGTAATCAAAAAATGTGAATCTCAAATTAATATCTTATCTCTAAACGACAAAGACGCAAAAACTGTCAACGGTCATTTAACTTTAATCGATTAATTCCAGAAGCCTTCCAGAGCAAGCGCGGGCCTTGATCGGAATATAAATAGATCGCAGGAGATTCATCTCGATGTCCCTAGATGCTTCCCGATACGTGTCGAACGCTCCCGATGTCGCCACGAACGCTCACGTATTCTGGCTGTATTATTGGTTGCCTAAGCGTCAACGTTACGAAGGTGCCCCATTGTTCCAATTACGGGGGCGTTACATTGTTTACATACGATAACTCTTTAAGATGAGCCCCCTTAACTTCTCGTCTTTTTTTCTCATAATATTATACTCAATAATGATGTTTGATAAAACGGATTTAAAAATCATCAGACATCTAAAAGCAAGTTGATCGTATTTTTATTATACCTTCTCCTGCAAATCCACGTATACCCAACTTAGCAAGTATGCAAGCGTTCAAAGTATGTATAAAAACTACTCTTCTAGATCTACTTCTAGAAAATAAGCATAATTATTATAGAATCTTGGCATAGCATCGTTTTAGAAAAATACTGATCTGTGAACAAAATTTCTGTATCCCTAGGAGATTCAGTCTTATCGCTTAAAAAGTAAATACCCACCTTTCAATATATAATCTGTTAGTAAGGTCGGCACCGTAGGACTATCTTCATTAATCGCTTTCAGAACTGAAATAAATATTTTTTATTTATAACACTGTAATATATAAGACGTTCTTCAAATTCGCAAGATTTTGTAAATAAACACAGTCGATTTTTATTTTCGATCTGCTTTTTATGATGCTGCAATGTTCATAGATAGGGGCTCTCAAAATTTTAAATCCGTGATTCATCCAAATTTTATAAATGATATGTCAATTTACCTATTTGCACATTTCTCAAGCTTCTGGACACCAGAGTACAGGGATGCTGTCAAAAAAACTGTATGCTCCAAAATATATGTTGATTGATGCGTCGCCTTTTCTAATCAACTGCATTTTTTCGCAAAATTGTAGTCTGTATAATTATGTAGACAGTTATTATGCAAGGTTAAATTGAATGGATGTCTTTAAACAAAAATTTCGATTTTTCTTTGGTCCAGTTATATGTATTCTATAAACAAAATGTTTATGCTAACACAATATTGTTCAAGGTCATCGATTGTTTACCTATACAATACTTCATAAACAATGTGTGTAATGAAACAATCAAAATATCTATTAACATTTTTTTTTTATATGGAATAGAAAGAGCTCCGGGGTAATTTCCACCAGATACTAAAGTTTTGAGTCTGTATTTCTTGGGAAGCCACAGCTATTTCAAGATGAGTCAACGACTACTTGTATCAATATTGTTCACTGAATACTTACTTTTGATGAGTACCTGCAGCGTCTGGTTATCTGGTGGTCCACAGTCTATGTGATAAGGAATCACGGTCGTCAAATACTGTAAAAAGCACACATCATTAATGAATATTTTAACAAACTTTAATTTTCGATTTATATGCCATGTTATAAAGAAAATTAAATTATATGCTGAGGTTTACAACATAAACTATTTCTTTAGAATACACATATATCCAATTTGCAATATGATCCTAATTCGGAAGAATTCATCATATTATAACGAATTGACTTTTGGGGTGCGTATAATTACGGGGATGGAAAGAAACATATTTCATTTTCGAAATTCGCGATGGAAGTTAACAATCACGATAGATTCAGTCCGATTTACCTTGGGATCCAACCCATTCGCAGGTTTGATCGAGGGGTTTTTCGAGCTTCGCTTCTTCTCCACATGGTACTGCCTCCTTTTATTCTGTACGGCAAGCAGTAGAGATATAAACGTATTCTTGAGTTCCTTCTCGTATTCTAGTTCATCACGGAGTGCCAATTCTGCGATAAGGGTTTCCGAAAACTCTCGGATCAGCACCTCTAGCTCCAAGAATAGCTCGTTCAGTTGCGACAGGCTGAGATCTCTCAATTCTGAAAAGCAAGCAAAGTTTTATAAATGCAGCTTCAACTCAGGATAATTTAAAAATTATTATACTTAAAACTAAAGAACGACAGAAGAAGAGAAAAACAAAAAAATTCAGAACTGACCTTTTTGCATATTTATTGGACTTTGTAACTTTATGTACTTTTTTATTGAATTGTTTTTATATATTATTTGTTATGTTCGATTGGTCTCAACCCAAATTTAAAATACATAAAAGATGAATACATACTATCTTCGTACAGAGGCGAACTCAAAACCTCCTTGGCCTTCTCCATGACCTCGCTGTTCTCCAAGGCTGATGTCATAGACTCTACCGCAGAGTCTGGCGATCCATCTTCCTCCTGTTCCCTGATCATGTCATCGATCTCCCTGATCACCTCGTCCGCCGTCTTAAGTGGTTCCTGTTCTTGATTACCGAGTCCGCCGAGGATGAGCGCGTGCATGTCCAGATCGCCTGCCACTTGCTCATCTTCACTGCTCAGGGAGTCGATCTCGTCGTCGGCTGGGGTCCGGGGTTCCTAACGTGCAATAGAATTATTTAGATTGTAATAATAGCGTATGGGGCAAAAGTTTTGAACCACGTCACTGTTTTTTACTATTCTTATTACTTACCAGTAATTTGAATTACTCTTTGTTAATTTTCTTTTGACAAATTTCATGATTTATTGATCTGTTGCGTTACCTAATCCTGAAAGTATGATTTCAGACATATATCTTTCTTTCTTAGCAACTCAGCATTGTGTTGAAATCGTTTGGACACCAATATTATATTACTTCATTAATGACTATCTCAGAAAGTTCCTCAACAAATATCGTTGGCCCCTCGTAAACTGATTTCTTTACCCGCAACATTATTTTGGGAAACAACACGGCACTGAAGTCCACCCACAGGCAACCAGTGATGTTGCGTATGTAGGTTTGGTTGCGAACTTTTCATCTCCGAACGCTTTTGTTTTTGGGATTGTTTTGTTTTCCTTGGACGAAGCTTTGATTCGTTATGTCTAGGTAGGATATTAGACAGTTTGGGTTTTGAATCGGAATTTCTCATTCATTATTATTTTTGGCATCGAATCTGTGCAGTATACAGGGTGTCCCAGAAGTCGACGTCAAGCCGAAACCGGGTGATAGGCAAAGTCATAACAGCTATCAGAAAAATATTTAAAAAAATTTTATGTATGTGTTTTGAAAATTATAGGTCTTTGAAAAAGATATAGAAATTTCACACCCTACGGCAGTCTGTCAACTCCTGTTACTACAAATATTAACTTTTTTTGGATTTTATTTTTACAATGTAATGATAAATAATGCATCTTCAAACTGGTGTCTCAACCTGACTGCCAACTTTTCTCGTTCAGGAAAAATTGCCACTTATTTCCTCAACTTTAACTGGCTGAACTGGAAAAAAAAAGTACTACAAGAGTTTGGCAAGTAACCTTAAAAGTTGGCGCATTTAATAACGATTCCAAAATGGTATAACACTTAGAAGATTACTCGTTAACTTATGCAGAATTTTTATTTGAAAAAAAAAACTGATAAAAATTTTTCAAAATTTCCTAATTAAACAGCGATTATGAAAACGCACAAGGACCCTTAAGGATAACTGTTTGCACAACAGTGGGCGTCAAAATGCTGCTGATGATGATTTACCTTTACAGCAAATGCTCAAACTGTTTTCCTTCAGCCGCAATACACGCTCGACATCTTAAAAAAGATCGGGTTATCAAACGAGCGAATCCACGGTTATTAACAAACTCAGCTGCTTCCAATAGTCTTTGCCGTAGCTCAGCTAAATTTTGAATCGGCTTGAAATACACTTTTTCTTTTACAGTTCCCCAGTGAAAAAATCTAAAGGATTCAAATCAGCTGATCGGGCTGGCCACGGTATTGTACCAGACGGCCTTATCCATCTGCCTGGAAAGTTTTGATCGAGATACTCTCTCACTGAGAGTGCATAGTGCGCTGGGCAGCCATCATGCTGAAACCACATGTCCCTGTAAATACTCAGTGGCACGTCCACCAATAAAATTTTGTACATGATTTTTCAAAAAATCCAAATAAACTTCAGCAGTCAAAGTCTCTGGGAACTCAAACGGACCGATTATTTTCCATTTAAAATTCCTGTCCAATGGCTTATCTTGAAGCGATATTGAGATTTATCTTCTCTCATCAAATGTGGGTTTGCTACGTGCCACTCGTGTAAGTTATGGAGGTTCATGTACCCATCTTTCTTAAATGTGGTCTCATCCGACCATAAAATTTTTTCAAAGAACTGTGGATCTTTCCTGTGTCTTTCTAACATTGTGCGACAAAATGCAACTCGGGGCTCATAATCCCGGGCAGGAGAGGTTGAACACGCTGTATGTGGTATGGATGAAGCACATCACTTACTTGCTATTGCACACTTTGATACCAATCAGTACTCCTTCGTTTACTGCGCATCTTTACATGTTCGTGCTTGTTGATTTCGTACTGTTACTAATTTTGGATTCGTGAACTGGACTGTTGATCGCTTGTAATTTGGATTTGGACTGTTTAATTGCTCTTGAAAACAACATTTGCTTTCCTTAGACTATATTTGATAGTGTGATCGTGCAGTGCCGCTATGTCCGTGTACACCGTACAAGAATATGCTAACATGCACCTCATTTATGGGGAATGCAGATGGAACGCTAGTGCTGCAGCGAGACTTTACTGTGAGAGGTACCCGAATGCAGCTCGTCATCCAGATCATCGAGTGTTCACAAATGTGCACCGCTTACTGTTCTCAGAGGGCCAACTACCAAAACCAATCACACGGTGAGGGAAGATCTTTCCTTCCTTACGAAGACGTGGTGCTAGGAGCTGTCGAAGAAGACCCGAGTACTTCAGTGCGTGCAATAGAACTAAAAACAGGTGTGCCTAAAAGTACAGCCCATAGAATCTTGCAAAAAAACGTGCTCCATCCATACCACGTACAGCGTGTTCAAGCTCTTCTGCCCCGGGATTATGAGCCCCGAGTTGCTTTTTGTCGCACAATGTTAGAAAGACACAGGGAAGCTCCACGGTTCTTTGAAAAAATTTTATGGTCAGATGAGACCACATTTAAGAAAGATGGGTACATGAACCTGCATAACTTACACAAGTGGCACGTAGCAAACCCACATTTGATGAGAGAAGATAAATCTCGCTTCAAGATAAACCATTGGACAGGGATTTTAAATGGTAAAATAATCGGTCCGTTTGAGTTCCCAGAGACTTTGACTGCTGAGGTTTATTTAGGTTTTTTGCAAAATCATTTAGAAAATTTATTGGAGGACGTGCCACTGAGTATTTACAGGGACATGTGGTTTCAGCATGATGGCTCCCCAGCGCACTATGCACTCTCAGTGAGAGAGTATCTCGATCAAAACTTTCCAGGCAGATGGATAGGCGGTCTGGTACAATACCGTGGCCAGCCCGGTCACCAGATTTGAATCCGTTAGATTTTTTTACTGGGGAACTGTAGAAGAAAAAGTGTATTTCAAGCCGATTCAAAATGTATCTGAGCTACGGAAAAGACTATTGGAAGCAGCCGAGTTTGTTAATAACCGTGGATTCGCTCGTTTAATAACCCGATCTTTTTTAAGAAGATGTCGAGCGTGTATTGCGGCTGAAGGAAAACAGTTTGAGCATTTGCTGTAAAGGTAAATCATCATCAGCAGCATTTTGACGCCCACTGTTGTGCAAACAGTTATCCTTAAGGGTCCTTGTGCGTTTTCATAATCGCTGTTTAATTAGGAAATTTTGAAAAATTTTCATACGTTTTTTTTCAAATAAAAATTGTGCATAAGTTAACGAGTAATCTTCTAAGTGTTATACCATTTTGGAATCCTTATTAAATGCGCCAACTTTTAAGGTTACTTGCCAAACTCTCGTAGTACATTTTTTCCAGTACAGCCAGTTAAAGTTGAGCAAAGTTTTACTTTGGAATACTTGGTTGGGAAATAAGTGGCAATTTTTCCTGAACGAGAAAAGTTGGCAGTAAGGTTGAGACACCAGTTTGAAGATGCATTATTCATCATTACATTGTAAAAATAAAATCCAAAAAAAGTTAATATTGTAGTAACAAGAGTTGACAGACTGCCGTAGGGTGTGAAATTTCTATATTTTTTTCAAAACACATACATAACATTTTTTTAAATATTTTTCTGATAGCTGTTATGACTTTGCCTATCACCCGGTTTCGGCTTGACGTCGACTTCTGGGACACCCTGTATAATTTTGGAAAACGCCCTCCTACTTTTGACATTGATTGACATTCAACTGACTGACGGAAAACCGGAAATTTCGTGTCTGTCATCCATTTTTTGGTTGTGTGTGGGTCCTTCGTTTAGTTTCCAAATTTTGGGATATTGGGCCCCAATAACCAGTTTGTTGTATCTACTTTACTTAGAATCTACTTGCAAAACTATTTTTCTTGGTTATCTGGGAGTTCGAATTACCCCTTTCTTCATAGCCTCAACATAACTTGAAGAATAAAGTATGTATTGTACGAGGGTGAATCAAATATGAACCGGACTTTTTTGTTTAACGCGCCATAGGTAATTGGAGTCGGTTTGGCGCGCCGAAGATGAGCTGTTAGTAGCATCGTGTCTAAGCAAGAGTTGCACATTGTGATATCAAAAACTGTTGAAGCGATCTTTAAGATACTGACATTAGTTTGCAAGGAACATTTTGGCTAGCAATCAACCATGAAAAGGATGATTTTCAGACGAGCCTCGTATTGCATTTCAGCAGCGCTTTCAACGCAATGTCTCATTAGAGCCAGCATAAACCATGAAATGCAATTTATGTATAAGCGATCTCTCTAACATTTGATACGGCACCTTTAACAATGAGCATTCCACGTAAAAAGCATTGGCCGACATCTCGGAGATAGGTGGTTGTACGTTTTTCGAAAATATTTGGAGAAAATAATACACAAGATGTTTTATATTCGACCCCGACCGCTGGGATCTCGGAAGTAGTTTCTACCCGATCTGGCCAAAATAAATTCCTTTGTTTCTGTCGTTGCAATTCCCCTGTCCCTGATAACATCACCAGCTTCCCACGAAAACATGAATAAAATCTTCATCTTCGGTATGAAACAAGCTGTAAATCAAGTACATCCATATGACAACCCATGTACCTCTTCAAGCTTGATTGATGATAAACACGTACATACAAATCAGACATCGACATCGCGGTAACATGCGCTAATGAAAGAGAAAGCCGTGTAAACAGGTGTCAACGTCGGCAGAGCAGCAGTAGATAGACATTATTACCATTTACTTTCTTCTACATGTCTACATACCTGTTCTAAATGCAACGCGTTGATCTGTAATTTCCTAGCGTAAGATTTGGACCAGTCTATTGGAAGGATGTTGCCGAAGTTGCCAGTTAGCGTCCACCACATTCTGAAACAAATAAATGAAGATCATTATTAAGTATTTTTTCTATGACTAGCCAAAACGCTAAGCTTTATTGCTTTACTGGTCCAGGCTCCTAGGCTTTGGCTGTACGAGGGTGGTCGAAGAAGTACGAAGAAAACGCAAAAATTTTATAAAAAAAACTTTCAGTCGACGATGATTCAGTACCGCTTTGTGAATTTTCTTCACCATTTCTGTCGTCACCTCATTCGCGATGCTCGTCTTGGCAGCTCATACGGCCTCGTTTAAACTCTGCTACCCAATATTTTACTGTTGTAAACGAAGGAGCAGACTCACCCAGAGTAGAATCCAGTTCAGCTTTTATATTGGTTGGGCTGAAGCCTTTGAAATAAAAGTATTGTACCACATAACGATGACCAATTTTCTCCATTTTCACAAATTCACTGAAAACGTTCAGTATTGATGGCTGCCAAACAAATACTAAACAACGTCTTCAAACTTGACACATATGCGTTATAGGTTGCATACTTTCTAATACAATGATATTTTTCAAACTATCGCCATCTCTAGGTCAGGCTGGGTACTTCTGGGACCACCCTCGTATAACATGTAATTAATAACGTATGCATGTTGCTCTGCTAGGTAAAATTCCATGCACACACAAAAATGAGGATTAGATGTTCAATCTGAAAATGCATTCAGCATTTGGACTCATTTGTACGTTATGGGTTTTGGAAGCAGAAAATGGAAAGCAGACAGAAAAAACGTGGGGAGTAAGATTATGTACGTTTCCATTTCGATTTGTTTTCAGTATCTCGTTCTCAGCAGCGATCAGGATCATTTCAAATAAGATTGTTGGTCACAGAGAACAAAAGCATCTATACTAAGTGACATATAAATCCGAACACCCAGTTTAAATGGTTTTATTTTAATAAAAGTTGGTGAATGTATTTATCTGAAAAAATGTTCAGCCTTATCAGTTGGACATTCCGGTTTTTATACTGCTTTTTTTTAATTCACTAACGCTCTAAAAATGAATATTTCAGCCGCAGTAAAGAATCAACGTTGGCGGATTTTGGTTCTTGACATCCTTTACGATCGGTTACGATGCCTAGAGTACGGAGACCTGTACGATTTCGTCAACTTAGTGAGTTTGATAGGGGCCGTATAGTGGGACTTCGGGAAGCTGGACTTTCTTTTCGGGCAATTGCAGTTAGAGTGCAAAGAAGTGTAGACACTGTGGTTAGGTGTTGTGAGGCATGGCTTCGAGAAGGCCGTACGTAAAGAGCAAGGGGCACTGGACGCCGCCGTAGAACAACAGACCGTGAAGATCGCCGCCTAAGATTATTGGCCTTAAGGGACCGTTTCTCCACTACCAGGTCCATTGCAAATGAATGGTTTGCAGAACACGGAAGACCTATTGGCATGCGAAGTGTTTACCGACGAATGAGAAGTTTTGGCTTGTTTTCATACCGGCCACACTGGGTCCTCCCTTTAACTCGAGAACACCGACGTAATCGCCTTGAGTGGTGCAGACAACGGTCACTCTGGGTGGTCTGGATGGTCGTGCCAGGGTTAGAAGGCGACGTGGTGAAAGGAGGAATCCATAGTTTTTTGTTGAAAGACATGTTCATCACACTGTTGGAGTTATGGTTTGGGGTGCTATAGCTTATGGTTCCAGGTCACCTTTAATCTTCATCAGAGGTAACATGAACGCGCAGCGTTATATCCACGAAGTTCTAGAACCCCATCTTTTACCCTATCTTGACACCCTGGCAGATCCAACTTTCCAACAAGATAATGCCCGACCACATGTTGCAAGAGTCACAATAGACTTCTTTCAACATAATGATGTCACATTGTTACCATGGCCACCAAGATCTCCCGACTTATCCCCAATTGAGCACGTGTGGGATATGATGGGTAGGAGATTGCTCAATTTGCAACGTCCTCCTCAGACTCTAGAAGCACTTCGAGAGGAGTTGGTGGTTGCCTGGAGGACATTGACCACCTGTTCAGAAGCATGCCTAGGCGCGTTGGAGAATGCGTAGCACATCAGGGTGCATCCACACATTATTAAAGGTCAAAGGGCTTTAAAGCAGTGCAATCATTTTGAAATTTTTATCATTTACTTATTATGCTTCATTAAGTACTTATACAAAATTTTATTAAAATAAAACCATTTAAACTGGGTGTTCGGATTTATATGTCACTTAGTATATGTTTGATATTTTTCGTTCATGAGACGAACGTGTTATACAGTGTGTGTGAAAATATGCTTTCCTATCGTTTCCACTTAATGGACAATAACTTCAACTTTATCATTTTATTTCTGCGTCGCAATTTCTTCAATCTAGTGAATACATATATTCTCCACTATAAGCATGGCTTTGTTGTGAACATTGTTAGAATATTAATCATCATTTAAGGTTCATTTTCGTGAAATTAACGAGAACGATTGTATTTCTACCATCTGTTAGACATCTGTTAAAGAATACGACGTTCATTATCAAAAATATATCTGAAATATGCGACGCCACACTTAAACAACAGGGATATAATTCATACAATTACGATAAAAACGAATTCAGATACTTAACTAAACTAAATTTACATAAGAAACCCCGATGCACAAATTTTGTTTGACCGTGATAAATTATATTTATGTAATTCAAAAAATGATCCATGCCGAGTTTAAACATGTCTGAGCTCGCTAAAAGGGTTTTTATCCACAGTTGAAATGGTCAGAAAGGTCTTGAAAAACAATTTGCTCAAAAGTATAACCCGAACAAAGAATACAAAAACGAAGTTTGGGAATGATCTGTAACTAGGAGTTACGCTAGATGTCATTCAAGTCTAAACAATGCGTCAAGTAGCACATGTACGTATTTCGTTCCAAATGCCAGACATATTTCATTATACGACGACGTCAGTCTGAATTTATAACAGCCCATAAGAAGCCGACTGGTCATAAAGTCGAGTCATTATTTACCAGGCTGGTGCGCTTGAAAATGGTATTTATGTGACTGTAATCACTAATTTTGCGCTTAATGCAAACGATACAATATGTTCAACCTGATATTGGTATAGGCTAGAAACTTTGTTTTTTCAGTTAATATTGTATTGCTCTTAGCAGTCATTGCAAAATTGCTAACAGCGAACTATACAGGGTGGCGCATCGAAAACGAAACAGACGCATTTACTGGCAGCTCAATTTTTTTTTTGGAAAAACGCTCAGATCCGTCAATAAAAAACGCAACATTGAAAATCCCATAAGGAACGAAGCAATAGATGTGGGGGTTGGTTTAGGGCAAGTTTATGTAGATCCTAAGTTAAGTACACGCAAGTGGAGACTGTGTGTGGTGTTAGTCGACGTACTGTCCAACGGATTCTAAAGGCCCATATTTTTCATATAAATTCACCTGGTAACAAGAACATAATGAAGACGATTTTGATCGGCGATTACAATTTTGTGAAGATATGAGTATGAGTGAACGAATTATAAACGATGAAAATTTTCTATTCAACACTTGCTTTTCCGACGAATGTTCCTTTTTCCTAAATTTAAATGGCGTAGTAAATAGTCATAACTGCCGATATTGGTCCGATTCTAATCCCAGAATTTATCATGAGGTTCATACACAGCAGCCACAAAAATTAAATGTTTGGGCTGGCATTTTGGCGATCATTTAGTGGTCCTTTTTCTTACCTGGAAATTTGACCGGTGAAATGTATTTGTAATTACTGGAAGACGCCATAGATCCATTAACAGCCATAATTGAAAATCAGAATGGTCGGCGGTACATTGCGAATAGGTTGATGGTGCCCCACCACATTACGCATTACGTGTTCGACAATATTTAGATCAGACGTTTCCAGATCGATGGATTGGTAGAAGAGGTGCCATTGAATGGCCCCCAAGATCGCCAGATTTATCACCTGAGCTGCCAGTAAATGCGTCTGTTTCGTTTTCGATGCGCCACCCTGTATTGTGACCTAGTCATAGCGACGATACACTGAAAATTATTTGGTTCTTATCGATGTAGTTTGGGATTTGATATCAAGATATTAGGAAATCAGAAAATCAGGTGCAAATAGTGAAAAAAAGGAAGTTTGAATGCATAACCCTGTTTTGGTAGACCTCACTGATGAACAAAAGGTGAATGAAACCATACTGGAATCAAAATAAATTTAAAAAATAAAAAAATTCAGTCAGAGATTGCTCAACGTCCTATATTGTAAAAATATTAGTAAAATTAATTAACACGATGAACTTGAAATCAGTAAAATGACTCCACTGTATAAACAAGGTGATAAAGACTATGAATAATTATAGTGATATGTGATTAGTGTTTTACATAAAATTGTTGCAAAAATCATCAAGACAAGAATGATGTCGTATGTATGGATTTAGACCAGGGTCGATAATTTTTGAAAAAAAAATTATAGTAGGATGAAACGTAACGTATAATTTTTTACACTATCAGAAAGTAGAGATTTCAACGAATAAAAAATCCATCAACTCCATCAAATAGCTGATATTTTCGATTGAAAATTAGGGTGCTTTTTCGAAAATAAAATAAGGTAAACAAATAAATTTTTCAATTCTAAAAAATTGTAGTGTGTTTGGTACATACAAAGGTAAGTTTTCACCAAATTTCGCAAAAAAAATTTTTTTGTAAAAGAAAAATAAAAAACCAAAAACTTGGGTATTCGAATTTTCCACATAAATTTTGAGGTTATGTGGAAAAGTGTTAATACAAAAGTTGTAGATATCTTCATTATCTACAACTTTGCCATTTAACTTTTTTCGTATGGCTTGTAGTTTTGCCGGAAATCGAGATAAACTGATTTTTACCCTTAAAAACTCACCCCCTCCCACTTCCCGACCTTCAATCGAGCGTAATTTATTTTTCCTTTCATTTTTATTATATTCTCTCCCTTTTACAATAGGTTTCATTCTCTATAATTTTTTTCTTTTTTATCGTTTTTAAAGGCTTCAGCACTGGTCTAAGTTAACATATCCATATTGGGGAATCCCTGAAGATGCATTTTGTTCTCGAGCATAGACAAGCAGAGTTACCATGTGTTCAAATCAAAAGCGACTAAATTTTGTAGAAAATCCGAAAAAGTAAAAATATAAATATTGATGACGTAATCACTATCTAGACCCCCCCCTCCCCCATCTCCATGTCATCAAGAATAGTCCTTAAGGGCCGTATCCTCAGAAAAGCGCCCTATTTTGAGGTTATGTTGCAAATATCTATGCATCAAACTGTTCATGCTTTTGATTCTTATCAGCCTGAAATTTCCTACAATTCAAGAAGAAAAATAAGTAGCAGAGCATTGACGCTGACACAGAACAGTAGAAATCTAGAAATACCCCTGCCTTTCTGAAGAAATATGAAAATCAAGGAGGCCATGAAGGCATCCTACAATAATTGACGATACCACCATTAGAGACTAAAATCTACTGTAAAAATTGATTCATTTGAATCATTGATTCCCAAAGTGGTCTCTATCGACCCCTAGGGGTCTATGACAACCTGCAAGGGGTCTATGTCAGCGAAAAAAAAATTGGGGTCCATGAAATGAATTTGGGGGTCCACGATAGTGGATTTAAACACATACACTGATAGTAAATATTTACTTACATCATACTATCTTACGTATAATATCAAAACATATACATTATTTATGAAAGTACCTATGAAGTAAAAAATTTATTATACATATATGTTTATAAAATTGTGTAAGTTGTAGGATGTTGGTATTCGCTTTGTGGTCGCAATATATTTTGAACTTGTAAAAACCTGAGAGTCGCAGTCTCAGAGCTTCGCTACCTTGTACTGACTTGTTCAATTCGTCACTCTATAAATACGAATGTGGGACAAATACGTTTATTCGTTTCCTGAATCTTGAAAAGGTAAGTGCTAAGAAAATATTTTAAAAAATATAAACAGATAGTATATCACACAAATTATAGTGAGTCAGTGTTATTTTGTTTGAGAGTGCTGGAGAAAAGTAAGTACATGATTTTTTATTAAATTTTAGTTTTGTACTCGTAGTTAGCAAAGATAGATAAATTACCCCAATCATGACTTTAGTTATTAGCAATTAAATATTCAATCATGCAAAATTACACGAGTACTCCTCAATAGTTTCTTTTTGAAAGTTTTTGCAATCGGTAATATAATTACAGTGCAATCTCCGTAATTCGAGCTAATTGTTGCAAGAAGATGTTCGAATTATGGAATGTTTTCGGAAAAAATCAAAAAATATTTTTAATACACAGGTGCTGCCATGTCCGAATCTAAAAAGAAATGTAGACAGTACAGTGTTGATTATTTGAAATTTGGCTTCATTCCATCATTGCCGGACAAACAATCGCCTATGTGCCTTTTATGCAACAAAGTTTTGGGCAATGTCGCTATGAAACCATCTAAACTGCAAGATCATCTGAGAAGATGCCACCCTGATAAAACAGAGAAAGATTTGAAATACTTTCAAACACTCAAAGATAAATTTCAGATGAGGCCTACAGTGGACAGAATGTTCGCTTCGACGTCACAAAGAAATGATGATGGTTTGCGGGCGTCTTACAATATCTCGTTACTTATAGCAAAATCCGGAAAACCGCATACTATCGGAGAGAAGTTAATTTTACCAGCCGTTGAAGAGGTTTTAAAAACTGTTTTACACAAACCTGCATCTGATATCATTAAAAGAATTCCCTTAAGCAACAATACTGTTGAAAGACGTATTGATGAAATGAGTTCTGATATTGAAAGCTTCTTATGTAATTATTTGGAAACGGCCCATTTGCCTATACAAATGGACGAGTCAACTTTACCGATAATGCAGCATTATTATTGGCATATGTTCGTTTTATTATAAATCAAGAAATCTACGAAGAACTGCTCTTCGCACGAACTTTGATAACCGACACTAAAGGTGAATCAATATTTCATGTTTTGAAGGATTACTTCATTGAAAAAGCAATTCCTTTATCAAATATAATATCAGTAGCTACAGATGGAGCATCTGCCATGGTTGGACGTTATCGTGGTTTTATAAGCTATTTAAAACAAAATGTGTCAGGGGTGTTAGCAATACATTGCGTCATCCATCGACAACATTTAGTTGCTAAAAATTTGAGTGTTAGATTGTATGAATCACATCATTTAGTCATTGATGCAGTAAACCGAATCCGAAGCAACGCGTTGAATACGCAGTTATTTGCGCAGTTGTGTGAAGAAAATGACGAACACTTCCATCAATTACTCCTTCACACTGAAGTACGCTGGCTGTCGAAAGATTTTTTGCACTTTTTGAGACTATTTTAGAATTTCTGGATACTAAAGATAAAATTTTAAAAGAAAATTTAATAAAGAGGAAAACAGACATCGCCTATTTACATTTTTTTATTGTTTACAAAATTTAATATGGTTAATTTGCAATTACAAGGCGATAGTTTAAATTCGATTAAAACAAAGTCCATCTTATCAGCGTTTCTTGCCAGAGTTAAACTAATGAAGCAAAATATTGGACGGGGCGAATTTTCTCAGTTCCCCAATTTTTCACAGACAAGCTGCCAGGAAGACGACGTTTCAACTTACGCTCAACATTTAAATGCCCTCTATTCAGATTTTGAATCTAGGTTTGAGGATATTTTGACTATGGTAATACCACCGTGGATAATTAATCCATATGGTGACATAGAAGAAACGAATGTCATAATACAAGAGGAACTTAAGATTCAGTTTCAAAACGGATATCAGCAATTCTGGCTGCAAAACAACATACCCGTTACTTATCCTGTATTATGGAATATAGCGAGGACATTTTAATTTCCTTTCCATCGTCATACCTAGTGGAAAGGGGGTTCAGCGCTGTTACCAATCTCCTAACGAAAAAAAGAAACAGACTGGACATCATTAGCCGAGGAGATTTAAGATTAACCCTTACAAAATTGACGCCAAATGTTGATAATTTATTATTAAAGCATCAGGTTCATCCTTCTCACTAAAATATTGACTTATTGCTTATGTTATTTTATTTATAGTTTATTTTATGTTTATTGGTGTCTGACCAATAAATGCCCGTATTGGGAATAAGTGCGCGCATTGATTTTTTTAAAGAACCCCCCTTTATAGAAAATATTTTTTTTTAAATTATTCTGAAAATTCAAGGATAGGTACACACTAAAATTCGGTAATTTTTTGCCTATTTTTAGATAACTTAAACGTATAAGAAGCGGAATTTATCAAACTAACAGTGAAATTATTGTAGAACATACGTTTATGTTATAATTAATAAACGAACTCGCTTATTGTACTATTTTAAGTAAAACACTTTTTTTTATTATTTTTCACTTTTTTTTATTTTATCTCTCTATTTTTTTTTTCAATGCGGGCACTTAATCCCAATGCGGGACTTATTGGTCAGACACCTGTTATTTAATGTTACGTATATTTTACATAACAGATACAAAATTTTATTTTGAGTAGTTTTAATTTAAATTCAATTAATAAATGTATAAATTAACATGTGTTTTTACTTTAAGTTTTAACACTAAACTTCACTACAGTTAGAATTTACAGGAAATCAATATCAGGTAAGTAGGGGGTCTACCGAACACGGAAAAGCATGGCAAGGGGTCTACGACACAAAAAAGTTTGGGGAACTCTGATTTAAATGCTATGCCCCATATCACTCGATGTTGCCTCGTACAATAGCATGAAATTAGCATTGAACCCTAAATCCACATACCCAAAATCGTCTTGACGACGACGTGACGTTCTTGTAATCCCGTTAAGCGTCTATTTTAGGCACTTGCACTGTTAAAATGATCTCATTATTCTGAGACAATTACGAAAATAGATAAAAAATGGACGAATAAATATAAATTCAAGGTTTGCGATCATGTACTCGCCTCTGGGTAGGTCGCCTAGCCGGCCTGAAATAACGAAATGCAAATAAGATTGCTGTTATGCACAGGAAATATGAAAACAACAGTTTATTTGCATTTTCAGTTCCTACGCAGCAACGGTGAAAAGGTGGAAATGTTTATTGAATTATGAATAAGACAAATAAACGATTTTCAGTTTCGGACTATTTACAAACATCCAATGCTCGAGTGCGAGAGTAGGTGGACAGTACAATAATTTTTGGTAATTTTAATCAAATCTTTTCTTCGTAAAAAACCTATAAAACGTAAAAAAAAACTATACTAAGTGACATATAAATTTTGTATAAGTACTTGATAAAGCATAATAAGTAAATGATAAAAATTTCAAAATGATTGCACTGCTTTAAAGCCCTTTGACCTTTAATAATGTGTGGATGCACCCTGATGTGCTACGCATTCTCCAACGCCCCTAGGCATGCTTCTGATCAGGTGGTCAATGTCCTCCTGTGGTATCTCATTAGGCAACCACCAACTCCTCTCGAAGTGCTGCTAGAGTCTGAGGAGGACGTTGCAAATTGAGCAATCTCCTACCCATCATATCCCACACGTGCTCAATTGGGGATAAGTTGGGAGATCTTGGTGGCCATGGTAACAATGTGACATCATTATGTTGAAAGAAGTCTATTGTGACTCTTGCAACATGTGGTCGGGCATTATCTTGTTGGATAGTTGGATCTGCCAGGGTGTCAAGATAGGGTAAAAGATGGGGTTCTAGAACTTCGTGGATATAACGCTGCGCGTTCATGTTATCTCTGATGAAGATTAAAGGTGACCTGGAACCATAAGCTATAGCACCCCAAACCATAACTCCAACAGTGTGATGAACACGCCTTTCAACAAAAAACTGGATTCCTCCTTTCACCACGTCGCCTTCTAACCCTGGCACGACCATCGTGCATGCCTAAACAAAATCGAGACTCGTCACTAAAGACAATACTGTTCCATTCCTGATCCCAGAGTGACCGTTGTCTGCACCACTCAAGGTGATTACGTCGGTGTTCTCGAGTTAAAGGGAGGACCCAGTGTGGCCGGTATGAAAACAAGCCAAAACTTCTCATTCGTCGATAAAGACTTCGCATGCCGATAGGTCTTCCGTGTTCTGCAAACCATTCATTTGCAATGGACCTGGTAGTGGAGAAACGGTCCCTTAAGGCCAATAATCTTAGGCGGCGATCTTCACGGTCTGTTGTTCTACGGCGGCGTCCAGTGCCCCTTGCTCTTTGCGTACGGCCTTCTCGAAGCCATGCCTGACAACACCTAACCACAGTGTTCACACTTCTTTGCACTCTAACTGCAATTGCCCGAAAAGAAAGTCCAGCTTCCCGATGTCCCACTATACGGCCCCTATCAAACTCACTAAGTTGACGAAATCGTACAGGTCTCCGTACTCTAGGCATCGTAACCGATCGTAAAGGATGTCAAGAACCAAAATCCGCCAACGTTGATTCTTTACTGCGGCTGAAATATTCATTTTAGAGCGTTAGTGAATTAAAAAAAAGCAGTATAAAAACCGGAATGTCCAACTGATAAGGCTGTAAATTTTTTCATTTGTTATTTACAGTAAGATAAATACATTCACCAACTTTTATTAAAATAAAACCATTTAAACTGGGTGTTCGAATTTATATGTCACTTAGTATATGAAAACAGCAGTTTATTTGCATTTTCAGTTCCTACGCAGCAACGGTGAAAAGGTGAAAATGTTTATTGAATTATAAATAAGACAAATAAACGATTTTCAGTTTCGGACTATTTACAAACATCCAATGCTCGAGTACGAGAGTAGGTGGACAGTACAATAATTTTTGGTAATTTTAATCACATCTTTTCTTCGTAAAAAACCTATAAAACGTCAAAAAACTTAAGCTGTCATTCCGCGTTTGCGCACTAGGATCGTTGTGAGCGTCCATCTATGTAGGAATGGCTCAACTACACGCATTGTTGGTTGCATATGTTTTGTGAAGCCGAGTAGTCTGTAGTTTTCACCTCTGAGAAGAAAGTTGGTTGAACAGCAAGATCGCATCTGTGATATTTTCTGTGTAAGAAAATCATTTCCGAATACTTATGCTGCCAATGAAGTATATCTATTACCTGTGCCCGACGGGTTATTTATATGTTGCCCTTTTTGAAGACAGTTTATGTTCAACGTTATAAATTACGATTTTTTACGTTTTTTGTGTTTTCAAAAACTTTGAGAACAATTACGGCAAATCACCACCGCGCCCGGTTTGTGTGTAATTACTGCTAACATGTATATGACTTGTAATTCGGCAGTGTACAGTTAATATAATTATTTCTTATCTAATCTTTCGAAATTCAGCAAATTTGCATATTTAATTTCTAGAATGGATAAGAAAAATTGGATGCGCAACTAATTTCTAGCTTGGAATCTCAAGTATGTGTATTTTAGTCGAGAATCCAATGGAATTATCATCAACACATATTATTAGAACACAAATCCTCACTAGGCACCTATGCATTGCCGTTACCTCCAGTAATGCCATCTCTGATGCAGATTTTTCATCACATCAAAGCCAAACATTGATAACTGAAGCCTCATGACGTGTAGGCAACGCCTAAAACTACAAATCGAGTGCACAACATGTCCATCAGCTAATACTAAGTTAACATCTTGTAGAAAAACCCCAATGTCAAAAAAAATGTCGACATATTGACACTTTTTAAGACACGTAGTACCTGTGACAGAATTCGACAAAGAAACGACGTTCCTCCTTAAGGTAACCTTATGGGAGTAACACTTTTAAAACTCTCTTTATTAAAATAGCGATTTTCCTACATCCCGAATAGCACCGCTAAGTTTTACAACAGCATTAAAACTTCGTCATGTCGAATATCCTAGTTTTCAGGTCTCGATATCAAGCGCACTTGATATGAAGTTGAATCGTGTTTCACCTTTTCCTATTCTTATAAGGGACCGATCTGTTTATATGCACTAGCTTTGAGAATCACAATCATTCGATGCAGCGTTTATTCAACATCCCCTTGTCTACAGTATATTCAGATAAGAGATAGACCGGATGTAAACAAAAGGTTCGGGTGATTTTCACGCTAACGCCGCCATCTCGACGTAAAACAGGAGCCCTCATTGGTCAATTCGCAATTAAATGTCTATGCCGAGCGGCAGAGCAGTCGTATCAAGGCAGAGTCACATTCAGGTTCAGACGTGTTACGTATGTCGTGTGCATCATTGCAATTTGATATTTCTTTGGACGTTTTCGTTTGTTATCTTATTAAGTTGTTGAGTTTGTCGTTGTTACTGTTATACCTTGTTATTGATTGTTATTGTTATCAACTGCTTGCGCAAAATGCCCAGTAGTACAGATACTGCCGATGAAGTTGTAAACTCCTGTAGTCCACCTAGGAAACGCTCTAAAAAAAGACACCTGAGTGCTGAAATGAAAGAGGTCATTTTGAATATATATAAGATCGAGCGCGAGGAGAACGAGGCATCAACCATCAAAGAAATTGTTGTGAAGGTTTCTCACAAAGTTGGGGTGTGTCGCGCATCAGTGTTTAATGTGTTAAGACAATACAAAAAAAATCACACCTTTTCTGAGCCAATGACCAGTAAACATCGCAAAAGTATTGTTAAATCATTGGATGAAGCTGATAAGCATGCGATTAGGAGGAAAGTGCATGAATTCTTCTTTAGGAATGAAATACCTACTATAGATAAAGTACTGCAGGAGGTAAATGGAGATACAACGTTGCCAAATTTCAAACGATCCACTTTCCATGCGTTACTGAAGCATTTAAATTTCAAATGGAAAAAACGGGGGTCGTAATAGTTTACTACTGGATAGAGAAGAAATTGTGCTATGGAGGAGGGATTATTTAACAAAAATTGGGAAATATAGAAATCAAAACAGGAAGATTTATTACCTTGATGAATCGTGGGTAAACGCAGGACACACTACAAGTAAAGTATGGGTTGATGATTCTGTAACTTCATCCAGGAGGGCCTTTCTAGATGGACTGTCCACCGGATTAAAAAATCCAGCAGGTAAATACGAGTAATAGACAACAATCGGATGTTTTTCAAACCTTGGGAACAAGGTTCTAAACATTAATTCCAGGGGGCAGATAAAACATATTACAAGTAACAAAACTTTTATAACTTTCGATAAAATGCGTGGATGTTTTATTGTCATTTTCATTTGTTAGAACTTTTTTAAGCCATGTTTTTATGTGTTTTCGATATTTCAATAATTTTTTAATATAATCTTAAAATATGTCGAATATTATAAACTTAAAAAAAGTTACTAAGTTTTATATTGTGTACCGTTCCTAATATTTCTAATCATTTAAATTCATACTTTAAGCTTTATAAAGTTATAATTTGTTAATATTAATATTTGCGCGTATTTCAGGTTCCTGATCATTCATTTTTTAAAGGTTTATAACTTTAAATTAAATTGTGAAGCGCTGAGTAATCATACGACGTTCAATATTCTTTCTTTCAATATGACTAAATAATCCCAATTATAGCAATCTGATACTCATGTCTCAATGTTTTTTCGCTGAATGTGATGAAAACATTTGAAAAAGGTTCGCTTATTGAAATAAATCTACACCAGTTAGTACTTCGATTTCCAGGTAAAGGGAAAAGGCTCATTATCTGCCATATTGGCAGTGAGGATGGATTTGTTGTTGACGGTCTGTGGTGCTTTGAGTCTAAGAAAACTGGAGATTACCACGAGGAAATGAATGGCGAATCGTTTGAACAGTGGTTTTCAAAAATTTTACCGAACTTAGAGGAAAACGCAGTAATTGTGTTGGATAATGCGCCTTATCATTCTCGAAGAATGGAGAAGGTCCCAACAACGGCTTCAAGGAAAGTTGATGTTCAAAAT